GGAGGAATAAAAGAAAAATCAACAGGAAATATCAACACAGGTTTCAACCTTGTGGACGCCTGTCACAGATGATAGCTAAACAGACTTAAAGGACTAGGTCCTCCTAGGATAGGGGCTGAAACACCAAGGAGCTTTTCAGAAGTCCTGAAGGCTGGTCCTCAGGAATCACCATCTCAGGAATCACTATTTTCTAAATAGCCTCCTTCCGAAGGGGGTTGGGAAGCTCTCCGATTTAAATGATAGACCAAAAAAAACCCCAAAACAAAAAAGGCTTTTCTTCCTTTATTTCTTCCCACCACAGCCTGAGCACAGGGCAAATCCTTATCAGTTAGAGTGGTGCTTATTTTTAGAAGTACGGCATGCTCCCTGGGTACGAACACAAGGCATTTATCTTCGCAGTTAACAAATGCCATCAAGTTAACAATTTCCACTTATGCCACTAAATCACCAACAACTAAAAATAGAAAACATATTATCAGATGTGGGCTGTGATCTAGAAAGTGTTTACCTAGAAGCATCTGATATAGAAAAGAAAGCTGGATTTCTTTTTTATTTTTTTGCGGTACGCGGGCCTCTCCCGTTTCGGAGCACAGGCTCTGGACGCGCAGGCTCAGCGGCCATGGGTCACGGGCCCAGCCGCTCCGCGGCATGTGGGATCTTCCTGGACCGGGGCACGAACCCGTGTCCCCTGCATCGGCAGGCAGACTCTCAACCACTGCACCACCAGGGAAGCCCAAAAGTTGGATTTCTTATGGAAGACTTTGCTTAATATCTGGTTTGTGCCCCTGAGGTCTGCTTGACCTTGAAAAAGTCACGTCAGCATTCAGAAGCCTGGTGTCTCTTCTTCATAGTGAGAATAACATCTCTCCCACCCAGTCGCTCTAAACATTCTGTGAGTTTAAACAAATAAATTAAAGACTTGGCAGGGAGGGCTCTTTTAAAATATCATGGAAACTTTACATCAAATTTTGAGAGTCTCACTTTCATTTACACTGTTTCTACACACTAAAGCCGGTTGAAATGATTCCACAAGAGAAACAAAACAGAATGGGATTCAGTCAACTTACCAGATTCAATTTCCCACAAACTTAATAACTATTTCACTGGATGCATAACTTCCTAACTAGTTATTTTGACATTGTTTAGACACAATCACAAAGAACCCAAAGTACAGCAAATGGTTTACCTTTAAACTTCAGAAACATCCTCTGACAGTATTTTTGTTATTTTCAACATATTCTTGAATGCTCCCTTCTGAGAAAAAGACAGACTTTTGGAAAGAATTTACATGGATTCCATTCCCACTGTAGCGTGCATATTTTAGCAAGTGGTTAAGTTTTGTTCCAAATGATTGTATTGTTGCTACAGGCATCATGACACAGACTAGAGAATTGAGACAACGCGCGAGATAATTCAATATTAAAAGTAATTACTTTTCCCTCCACTATTGCACTGTCTCAAATGATATTTTTCTCTTAATTATGTAATTACTTGCCTTGGTTCTTCATTTCACTCTGAAACACTGTGAAACACCACAGCCTCAGAAAGTAAGATACTGGCATTTTCCATCCACCAAAAACTGGGGCGGTAGATAAAATAAAAACTGTGATGAAATAAACGCATTGCCAAGACTCTCAGTTATATTATACTTTTGCATGTAAACAAATATCCACGTGTAGGCGATTAAAACATCAGTGGTGACAGTGACAACTTCTCTGAGACAGCGGAGTGGTTGGCAGTGCTTCATGCTGCCAACCACCTAATAAATACCTCTATTTAGATATTTAAATGGTGCTCTGTCTGCCTGAGGAGGTTTAAGAAGCCCCATAATCATGGATAGGATCATTCCATCAGTGTAACACGTGCAGCTTACGGTGGTCTGTGGGTGGTCTCATGTACTTCCAAGACTTTGAATTTCTCCTATAAGGCAATGACCCCAGCTCTCTGTCCCTAGACCAGATCACTATTCTGAGCTCTGACCAATAAACCGAACTCATTGAAGGACCTTGTTCTTTGGATATGGGCAGGTACCTTGTACCACATTTCCAAACTTCTAGTATAGTAGTGCATCAGTATCAGCAGGGGAGCGGCTCCAGGACCCTCTCCTTCCACGGATACCAAAGTTTGTGGACGCCCATGTTCTTTATATAAAGTGGTGTGCTGTTTGCATGTAACCTACACACCTCCTCCTGTGTACTTTAAATCACCTCTAGATTACTTATAATACCGAATACGGTGTAAATGCTATGTAAACAGTTGCTGGAGCATGACAAATTCAAGTTTTGCTTTTTGGAATTTTCTGGGATTTTTGAATAAATATTTTTGAATCATGGTGGTTGAATTCACGGATACGGAACCCGCTGATATGGAGTGCCGACTGTATGATGAAGTCATTAAAAGCACAGGCTCCAGAGACAGACTGCCTGTGTTCTAATCCTGGCTCCTCTGCTTTACAAGCTGTGTGACCTTGGTCAAAGTACACATCCTCTTGTGTGCCTTAGTTTCTTCACCTGTAAAATGGGGGAAACAATAGCTGTCGGAGAGTTTTTTAAAAATTAAGTCAGTTAATCTCTGGAAAGGACCTAGAATACTATCTGACACATAGTAAAAACTCAGCAGATGTCCTATTCTCTTGTGATTCTTCTCCTCCTTCTTCTCTTTCAATGAATAGCACCAGGATTTGCCCAGTGATTTAAGCATAAACCTGGATTCAACTCTTGGACCAAGCACTTACCAGCTCAGTGACCCTGGGCAAGTGACATAACCTCTTAGAGAGCCTCAATTTTCTCATCTGGGAAACAGGCATTACAGAGACTTCTAATATGGATTCAGTGAAAACCCAAGTAGAATGCATCTTGCAGGGCCTGGCAGGTCGCGAACACTCAATAAAGATAGGCCATTACTATTGTTTGTCTTGGACTCTTTCTCCTCCTTAGCTCCCATTTCTAATTACCTAGCAAGCCCTGTTGCTCTTAACCCTTACAAACCTTTAAATACCTGTCCTCCTTCTTCCGCTCTCTCTCACCTTGTGTCAACTTTCATCTCCTAACTGCTCCTTTTACCCCTGGCTCTGGCTTTCAAATCCATCTTCAGTTCTCCCCTAATTCAGGCATAACTGGGTCATACCCCTGCCCCATCCTCCAGGCCTGCCTCTCACCTATACACTGTTAGCACAGCTCAAGGGAGCTCTGCCCCATGCTTACCTGTCCACCTGGTGGTCCAGCTCCCCTATGTGGACACTCACCCCAGCCCTTCCCAACAATCTTGTGGACCCCTGGGTGCTGACACACACACCCGTTCCCCAGGACAGCAGTGGCACAGGGGCATGAAACAGCAAGATAAGATACAAAGGGCAAATCACGCAAAGCATTCTTTTCAGATGTTCGCACTCTAGGGAATGACCACTATTTACAAAATAGAAACAGACTCACAGACTTAGAGAATGAACTTATGGTTACCAGGGGGGAAGGGGGAGGAATACTTAGGGAGTGTGGGACTGACACGTACACACGGCTATATTTAAAATGATAACCAACAAGGACCTACTGTTCAGCACAGGGAACTCTGCTCAGTATTCTATAACAACCTAACTGGAAAAGAATTTGAAAAAGAATAGATACATGTATATGCATAATCAAATCACTTTGTTGGACACCTGAAACTAACACGACATCGTTAATCAACTGTACTCCAATATAAAATAAAAAGTTAAAAAACTTGTTTTTGACCTATCAACAGTTTTGTTGGATAGGATCTAAGGTTAGAGAAGAGAATACAAATTTTCCACTAATTTTCAGGTTGACACATGAGAATTCAGATTCTTCGGAGCTTGCCAAGTGTTGCTGCGGGCGAGGCCTGGGACGCTTGGGGATGCCATCCACCCCTCACTGCCACTGAGGTTGTTTCAGGGAAAAACCCCCATTCCCTAAGGATGTCTCATATCCTGGTCTTTGAGCAATTTGACAGACAGACAGACAGACCAAGTCCACACCTTCCCCATGGACCAGCTGAGTGAGCGATTCCTCTGTGTACACAAAAAACACACACTTTGTGTCCTTGTCTTTCAGTGAAGGTGTCTTCCTGGTCATCCCGTTTACCGGCCTCTCCTCTATAGTCTAAGGGCACAGGCTGTGTCCCATTCGTTTCTGTATTGTCACAGCCCAGCCTTGTTCCTGACACATAGCAAAATATATTAACATTAGGCAAAGGTGATACGTCTGCAAAATGAATCGTGTTTCACAGGAAAAACTATCTGGATATCTAAGTTTTTAACATTCACATTCGGCAATGGTGATACATCTGCAAGTTGAATCGTGTTTCATAGCAAAAACTATCTGGATATCTAAGTTTTTTTTCTCAAATCTGTTTCAGATTCTATATGATACACCTTGATCTGTAACAGAGACCACAGGATATGGTCACCTATGCTGTATGTGCTGTAAGCCCATGGTCACTAAGGTCACTTTGTGACACATCAAGTAGATGGCTAAGAAATACATCTAAAAATGTTTGAAGTAAAGGTTTTAAACAGTGGTGAGTAAATACCTCACTCTTCCAGGATTTAAGGACCTAAGGGCATAGTAGTCCCTTTGAAAATATTTTGAGATAACTTCAAGTTATTTATTTTCCAAAAGATTAAAGTCACTCTTTCCACTTACACTCCGGAGACTTGTTGTATTCTTTGTTACCCGGAACTGCACCCTTTGAAGGCAACATGCCAAAAAATATCTTTTTTATTTGTTTTTTGTGGTTTTATTTTGGAGGAGTTTGGGGGAGGGAGGTTTGTTTTCTTTTTTTTTTTTTTTTTAACGCTTTGTCAACATTTGAGTTACAATAGCTGCAACAGTGGCCAAGCTGATAAGAAGGGGAAACCTTGTAAAAGTACAAACCTTGAGCAAGAAAGGAAATTACCAAATAGGGAAGTTTCATTCTGCTAAAATTAAAAACAGCCTGAAATTAAAGCAGCGTGACTGGAAGCCTACTCTGGTTTTTGATTGGCCTTTAAGGCAGTAAAGTGGCGACCCTGTAAACAGAAGAGAGCAATCAACCCTTTTCCCCCATTCCTCCACCGAAAGGAGCAACTTGGTCCCCAGAATGCCTTAAACTAGAGGTAGGTTCAAGGACTGTTCTCTCAGATCCAAATTGTTCTCCCACAGTTCTCTGATTCTTCTAAGAGTGTTGCGAAGAAAGTCGGGCTTAGAATTGCAGTGCTTGAAAAAAAGTGCAGACTAAGCTTTGATAAGGAACTTTGGCATCTCTTGAATGGAAGGTCTACAGACTGGCTTGTTCTTATTTGGAGCTGGTGGGGTGAGGACAGAGAGCCCAGAGGGAGGTGGAGGGAAGGGCCGGGAGGATGTGGAAACTTGGACCAATTAGCTTTGTCTTTCTGGGACTCCTGGTGTGAGGGCTGGGGAGGAAAGGATTCCAGAGGCATCAGCCCAAGGTCACTTTCCTTTGGGCAAGGAAAGTAGAGAGACCCACAGTATCTGGATGGCCCATCATGGCTCTCCTTATTCAAAGACCCTTTGCTCCTTTAGACCTTCCATTCCCTTCTGAGATTAGCTATGTAACAATAAAATCAAAACGCAAGGAGATGCAGGGTATTTCTGCAAAGATCAATCGTCCTGAGTAATTCAGAAGATGTGCATATCAGATTTCACCTTCTTTTCCACTTTCTCACTTCCTTCAAAGCCAAATGATGATGAAGTCATTGCCAAGGACATCAACTGAGCTGCGATGGTAATATTGTCTCATTGGTCCTCAGACTGTCCAAACTTTTCATAAAAAGATGCATGTTTGATTTCAGTTACTGCAGTTGCTTGACGCTGATTCAGTGTAGGAATAAACTATATCACAACAGAAGAAGGAAATGGAGGACAGATCCAACTCAACATAATCACAGTTCTGGATTTCTTAAGTCTCTTTTCAAGTAGATAAGACAGAGAACTTGTCTTAGTCAACTCAGCCTGCTGTAAGTCTGGGGGGACTTACACAACAGACATTTATTTCTCATAGTTCTGGAGCCTGGAAGTCCAAAATCAAGGTGCTGGCAGACATGGTTCTTGGGGAGGGCCCACTTCCTGTCTGCAGTTTGCTGTCTTCTTTCTGTGTGCCCACGAGATGGAGAGAGAGAGCTCCGGTGTCTCTTCCTCTTCTTATAAGGACACTAACTGAGTGTCCTTACAATTGAGGCTTCACCCTAATTGAGGCTTCACCCTCATGACTTTATCTAAACCTAATTTCCCCAAATCCCCACCTCCAAATACCAGCACACTGGGAATCAAGGCTTCAGAATATGAATGGTGGGGGGAGGGGGGGAACACATTCAGTCCATAACCGAAATCATAATCAATTTACTGAGACCCCTTTTAAATTAGCTGTTAGTGAAAATGCAGTTAAGTGGATCCATGTCCACGAAGACAAGACTTCAAGAGGGCTATTTCCTAACTCTGCTTCCTGCCAAACCCTAAAGACAAGCTTGTCGCCCATTCAGTAGGAGTTCGTTGGTTTTTTTTTTTTTTTGAGAGTTCTTTAAAAGTAGACTTAATTATATCTTTGTAGATCATTCCCCCGCACAACAGATAAGAGGGTCTGGAAGCTAGAATTCCTTATGTTCCACCTCATCAATAATCACAAACTACAGCCCCGTGAGAAGAAAATAGCTGTATTTTGTCAGGCAAATAAACTGGCCAGGCATACATATGCCTCCAATGACTAGGCTGTACTCTAAATCATGGCGATAAAGTATTATCTTCTATACTTTCTTATGTAGAACATTGTACTACTTTTATGTACTACACAGTTTGCCAGAAACATATCTGGATAGTACAGGAACAATTCAAAATGCTATAGCCAGCACTGGGAACTATACTCAATATTTTGTAATAACTTATAAGAATCTGAAAAAGAATATACATATATATATATAAACATGTATATATATAACTGAATATATACATAACTGAATCACTTTGCTGTACACCCGAAACTAACACAACATTGTAAATGCATTTTCAACTGAAAAAATGCAATCAGGTAAAAAAATGCTATAGCCTTTTTCTTTCTGTTTCCTTTCTGACGGCCATTCTCTAAAGCTCTTTGGCAAAAGTCTAACTCTTCAACTACCTGCATAAAACTCGAACTACCCGCAGAAAAATTGAAGGGTGGCATATTAGCAGAGCAGCTATGTAAAAGCTTGCTGATTAGGGGAAAAGTCCGCTTTGGAGGAGCCTGGTGTGACTCCATGTTGCTCCCCACTGAGTTACTGAGTGACAAGATAAGACAGGGCAGGAAGCAAGAGCTTTTAGAAGGATTTCGCCAGGCCCTAGGAAGGGCTTAAGACCCCTAAAACTAGCAAGACAATGTTAAGTTCTATTTGGGGTAATGGGGTAAACATCCAATTAAAGGATTTCTCTCCAGAAGTAAGGGAGCCTTCCAGAGCATTTTTCCAAGTCCCAGTGTACAACCAACACAGCGCCAGTATCAAGAAGAGGTCCCAGGAGAAGGCAGACAGTGCTTGCAAAAGCTAAACAATCACCAGTCCCGAAGTCCTGACCGTAAAGGTTGAATGTAGAGCAAGAAGGTCCTTGCATCTATCGAGGTACTTTTTGTTTTAAGCATTTACCTTTATACATTAAAAACATCACTCTGTTAAGAAATTGATTCTGCACAAATAGTACTAATTAGTAAAGATTTTTTTTAAAATTTAGGTCACATTAGATGAATCAGCCAATAAATATTGTAAACTCTCCATGACTGGTGAGTTAGCTTAACTGAAAGTACAGGGTTATTTTAATAGATACAGCTAATGTGGAAGCTATTGCAATTACCAACATAGTGCTCAAAATAAATAAATAAATACCCAGACAAACACCTTCTAGACGGTATGCCTTGCAAATAAAATCTTAGTATATTAAATGACAAAATCACCAGTAACAAGTAGAGCAAAGCAAGCATAAATGTTGAATACTCACATTTACATAAGAATTTAAGGTACTCACAATCCAGTATTTATACAAGAGAATAATAAAGATAATAAAGAAAGCACGTTTCTATAATGAAATTATCTTTTGAACATATTACTTAGAAGATTTAAACATAAAGTCATATTTTAAATATATTTTTTAGGTGATCTATAATTACACGGGAGAACAAAGCATTGCAGCAAACTACCATCCTGTCCTAGAAACAAAATGTCTGTAGCATCCTTGTTTAGGACATGAAATAATTAATACCTATGACCTCAATTTTGCAAAGTATTTTGCCAGTAGGGGAGTGTTTTGTGAAACACTGCAAGTAGCTATGTATTATTGAAACTGAGTAAGAAGTAGCTTGCCTAAGGCCACTCATAATAACAGTTCCAGAAAGAAAAATCCAGGCGTGCTAGACTATTAATTTTCTAACTTTATCTGGATAATATTTATAATAAATTAAATAAATATTATTTTGTGCTTCAGTTAAAATTATCTATAGTCAAACCTTTGCAATCAAATGTGAACTACCCTCCAACCATAAAAATATGGAATATGGGTTGATTAGGGAAAAAAGGCATGAGACAAAAAAAATTATGATACCTGCAATATTTTTCAAAGGCTATAATTTTAGATGCCATCCTAGTGGGGAAGATAAAGACAAGATCATGAATGGTCTCGAAGTAGAACAATTATGAGTCTTGATGTTGATTAAGATCAAGATGACCTGAAATTTGTATGACTCTTATAATCATGTTTTACAAATTTAAATTGATAAAATTGACTATCTTCCTCCCTCACCTTCTAAGCCTGCATTCCCTATCTCATTTGTGATACATTTGTCTACTCCAGCAATAAACCTAGGTTCATCCTTGACTTCTCCCCCTCAATCTCCATATCTTACCTCCAAAATATTCGTCAAATTCATCCTCTCCTTTACATCCCCATCAACACTACCCTTGTTCAGGCTCTCATCCTGTTAATCACCGCATTAGCCTTCTCACTGCACCTTTGCCTCCAACTTTGCCCTACTTAATTCCATCTTCTTCAAAACCACAGTCCACTGAATCCAATGAGGGGAGCTGGTTGTGTGGTCATGAAATGAGGCAGTTGCCATAGGCGGGGGCTGGAGGGTGGGAGAAATGGGTGAACTCTTTTTGGTTTTTGTTGTTTTGGCTTAAATAAAGGCGGGGGGGGGGGGAAGCAGAGTAGTTGGAAGTGCCCACTGTATCCCCATACAGTAGTGATGAGCAATCTCTCTAAAACTTTAAATGCCTTCCAATCACCTGTAGGCTAAGATCCCAACTCCTTGACATCCTGTTTGAGACTTTACATGACCTGTCCCTGGAGATCTTCCCTTTGTCCCATCTGGAGGCTGATTTGTGTGCATTATTTCAGTGGATTCCTTGTTTCCAGTTGGGTTCTGCCAATGGGGCGCACAGGCAGCTTGGAGGAAGGGAAGAGAGTGACGTCGGAGTGTCCCTCACCCCCTCCATCCCCTCCCATTTACAAGTGAAGAAACTGAGTGTTAGGGAGAGGAAGTCGTTCACCAAGGTCATAAACTGGTGAGGGGCAGAGCTTAGAGCTGCACTTTTCTAACCCCAAAGGCATCATTCCATGTCGTGGTTTCCCATCTGAGCATCTACAACCTGCATAAACACTTTCATGCAAATCACAAGGGTTATGTAGATTCGTGTTTTGACCACTGCCCTAAAGAAGCATAAAAAAACTGAAGAGGGCTTCCCTGGTGGCGCAGTGGTTGAGAATCCGCCTGCCGATGCAGGGGACGCGGGTTTGTGCCCCGGTCCGGGAGGATCCCACATGCCGCTGAGCGTCTGGGCCCGTGAGCCACCGCCACGGAGCCTGCGCGTCCGGAGCCTGTGCTCCGCAGCGGGAGAGGCCACAGCAGTGAGAGGCCCGCGTACAGCAAAAAAACAAAAAAAAACCCTGAAGATTTAGCTCTGCCAAGATGTAATCCAAATTGGTTATACGAGAGTTGTATTTAAGAACAGAAAATACTACATTATAAACTATCACAGAAATCATTTGAAGTGCTTCTGGAGGGAGCCAGGAGATCACCGCCTGTGCATGTTTAGATCTGCCTGCGTAGGTCCATCACCAGCTCTCCGCAGCTACCTGT